AAGAAGAAAGAAAATAATGCGAGAGGTCTGGCCTGGGATGGGATTGTTGAGGGCCAAATTCACTCTGCTGAAGGACACAGCATGCAGACTGTGCCTCTTGGGAGAAATGACAGGGCTGTAATTTAGGGACCTGCATAACAGAGCCGAATCCTCCACAGCACCTGCAGTGGCAAATACAGGCAGGCATCTGAATGAAAGCCACTTTTCTCTCAGTTAGCCAAGAGACCAAGAATGTTGCATTTAATGCTCATTATTCAAGAACTTACCTGGGAATATTTTCCTCATTTACAACAGTAGGTGAGCCGAACAGCTTCTTCAGTTTTTTAGGTTTCAGAACACTAGGGAATTTCTGTATGCCCACAAGCAAAAGGTGCAGGTTCTCTGGAGATGTGAAGGCTGAAGCAAGGTCACTTTGCAAGATGCCAAACAGGACCTCCTCAAACACCGATTCAGGAACCTAGACAGGAACAAAAGACAGAGCATATGAAAAACATCTGAGACCTTTTTGCTAACTTGCTGTACAGTGTAATAACATATCTGCATTGTAGGGGGCATTTTACTAAAAGCTTGCAACGTTCTGGAAACTTTAGAAATAGTCTTTACAGTGACACAACCAAAAATGAACAATGCACGTGCCCAGTACTGCTATGCAGTCCCCAGCTACTTAACCACGTGGTGCAGGACAATACTCTGTCATCAGAGAACAATCCTTGTCAACTGACTCCCACTGTGATTGCTTCTCTTGCTGTCTGACTGCTTCTGTCTGTATGGCCCAGGGAGGAGGAAACACTCCTGTATTAGCTTTTAATTATATTTCCCCAAAATAATTACTTGTTTCATTAAGATTTTCTGGTAAACTGTGTTCAATACATTTAGAGAAAACTGGATCCAATGTTTTCATCAATAAAAATTAGAAACACACAAAAAACTGCTTTCATTTGTATTTTTATAAGATTGGATTCAAAATACCTATAAATCTAATACCAAGACTAGATGACACAGAACACCTACCTACAGAATATCATTTTATTTTAACACTGTGAATCTTCATACAAACAAACAACATCCACGTAAAAGAAGGAAATAAACTCTCTTCTTTTACTACATACTCAAAAGTTCCTTTACCCCATGTCCTTACATGCTCTTACACTCAACAGCCTAAGCTTCAACCTTAGGCCCAGGCAAGGTGCATAAAAAAGGTTTGCTGGCCAGAGTTCTCAGCATACTTCTGTTCAAAAGAGCACAGTCTAAGATATCACCCAAGCAAGTCACCTGGGTAAAAAACTGACTACAGGTTTGTCCATAACGAAACCAGACTGAACCAGATCATCCTTCCCAGAATAAAAGCATCTGCTCACAGACAATATAGGAAACAGCTCCTGTAATTTAAACACACACTCCTTTTTAACTTTCATCTATGAACAAATCAAAGAAAAAGCGTTTCCCAAGGCAAGATCCTGCCCCCTCCCACCCACCACACGCTGTGGCTGTACCTCAGACATGATGTCAATAAGAGTTTTGCGAGGGAGATCTCTGAGGTGTGCTTGGTGATTTGCCAGCTGCTGGAGAAGCTGGATGCTCCCCAGCAGAGCATTCTGGTCCTGAAAAAGAAAGGTAAGCCAAAACCAAAAGACATGCATCAAAGATTAAGCTGAGGGCTGAGGTAATAATCTACTCTTGAGATCCTTACAGCTACTTGTAATAAGAAACCTACATGATTGCTTCCTGACAGGCTACTCAGCTTTTCCTAAAATGATGTTTTATGGCTGTACATGACAACAGACCCCTTCCTTACAGGAGAGGCAGGAACATTCCATGCTATCTGACACAGTTCTTACATTCTAGTCAGGAACAGACATTTAAAAGGCAAAAAAAAGTCCATGGATAATGCACAAGGAATTCACTCAATCTGATGCTTCCAGTCCCATCTCATTGACTAGCCAACGACCCAGTCTTTCTCTCTAGATCCTCTTTGCACTTCAGACAGCCCTAGAACCAGTACTGACAAACAACATAACAGCGATATTACCTTAACAAGCCGGCCAGATTGAAACAGAGCCATAACTCCAAAAAAGTTTCCAAAAGCAGCATTTCTCACAAGTTTCTGAAGAGAGAAAAAAAAAAAGGAGGTTAAAGATCCACTTCACTGAGAGGTTAAGTTTCATGTCCAACTACAGCTCTAAGCAGTGGAACAAGATGGCTGGAAGATGTAGCCTTGAACACCCTGCCATGTGAAGGTTACCCGCTGAAATGCATGCATGATATTTAAGAACTGTCCTAGATTGTCTTTCACAAAGACAAATCTCAGCTAAAACAGGGCCAGATGACAATGTCATCAACCACCAGTTCTCACAGATACTCCCGTTATTTCATTCTAGTCCTTTTAGTCTTTAGCAAGAGGCTCAAAACTACTGTATCCAGGCACCAAGCCTTCAAAGAACAGAGAATGGTTAATTTAAACTATTGGCCAATGCTGCTGTGAGCCAACTCACCTTTTTCACTTTTTCCAGATTGTGTTTTTCCTTTATCTGTTCCAGGACACTGCAAATTGGAATTTCCTCAAAAGCCTGTAAAACCTGAGGAGATGGATGGAATAGCTCAGTTTGCAGATCTTCCATTTTACAAAGTTTTACTGGGCTCAGCTGAAATAAGATCTGAACAGCTGCTCCGCATAACAGCATGTGTGCTGCTTTATTAGGCCAGGTTACAGACAACTACATTAGTAGATGTGTAAGAATAGGAACTAGTATAGGCATAAATATACCTGCTGATACTCCTTTTTTTTTTCCATATACGTGACATAGTAGTATTAATAATGAGAACATTTTGCTGCAACTGCATCACCCTGTATCAGAAGCAATGAAACTTTATAGCAAGGACAAGGCCCTACTCTAAGTGGGAAGAGCACACCCTCTTCTCCATTATCAGCTTCTTAGGGTAGATGAGGTGACCCCAACCGCTGAGGCTCTTTGTTATGCTACAGACCTAACCAGCATGGAGGAAAACAAGACTCTGAAGTGTGTGTTAAAGGGTGGCCTTTCCACATCTCCCACATAAACAGCCCCATACCAGGAGCAAGGCAATTTTAAATCATAACAGTTCTAAATGAAGCATACTTGAAAATATGGTCGACATCTGCAAATGAAGGATGGTTCTTAAAGCAGGACAGAACGCTGCAACATAAGCGTGGTACTGGTATAGCTTATACCTTTTTAAGTGCATTGTTTCTGAAACGGACTAGCACCACTGAAAACCACACAGGTTTTATATACGAGAAGCCAACAGCCTCCCCTGCCACCTGCATGCAGGCGCTGCCAGAGGGGAGCCCTCCAGCCTCCCTACACACAGCAAAGCGGGGCTCCAGGAATTGATGGGGCCGGAGAGCGGCCTCAGAGCGCTCTGCTCCGCTCTAGGAAACACTGACCTGGGCCAGGGCCAAGCTGAAACCAGGGCGGGCGGCCTCGCGGGTGGCTCCCAGTCCTTCCACCAGACGCTTGAGGGTGTACTTCAGCTCATCGTCCTGAAAGAGAGATCCAGCTCCGGAACCCTGCGAGGCTGCCGGGCCCGCCGCTCCTCCGACCGGACAGAGCGTTCCCAAGCATCAGCGGAGGGAAGAGTCATGCGAGTCGGTGTCTGCCGACACCCGCAGCCCCACCGCCCGGCCCCGGCGCCCCCTCACCTTCCTGCCCTCCCGCAGGTGCCGCAGGAGGCTCTCGGTGGCCGCCAGCCGCACCTCCTGCTCCGGCTTGGCGATGTCCCAGAAGAAGTCGAGGAAGGCGCGGCCCTGCCGCAACACCCCGCGGGGGTCGGTGACCACGCCGCTACCTCCCAGGCCCTCCGGTTCCGCCATGCCTCCGCTGCAGCACGTGGGGCCGCTGCCGTCCTCAGCCCGCCCCGCCTCTTCCGGGGCACCGGGGCCGGAGCGGGGACGCTGCTCGTCAGACGGGCCGGGTAAAGCTGAACCGACGCCTGTCGGCCCCTTAGCGCCATGTTCTCCTCCCGGCTTCACAGCCCGGACCCTCTCCAAGCCTCGTTCATCCCTCCCCTGCCCCAAGGGCTTCCTTCGCTTCCCCGCGCCCTGGTTTGCAGCTTTCGAAGGAGGTTTGAATCCTCTCTCGGCGAGGAAGCGGGACTGGGCAGGGGGAGAGAGCTACGGGGTGAGCCGGGCGCTCCGTCCGCCCGTCTCAAACAGGGCGGTGCGGGGTCAGCGGCACCGCTGCTTGTACGAACATCCAGACGTGCGCTTATTACAAACCTGAAATAATGGGCTAGGAAACAAACCACGCGAAGGGTTCGTGTTTAGGGGCACGAAGACGCTCTCGGCCTTTATTTACAATAAAATACAGGGCTATTCTCCAGCTGCCACGCGAAAATTGTGCACGTTTGCTGCGCTCCTTCCAGACTCCGGTCCCATACCGGCCCCAGGGGCGCAGATAACAAGTGCAGCGCCTGGAGCACGGGCCGCTCCGCCCTGTGTCGTACTCACAGCGACTGCAGGACGATTTGGGACACATGGGAGGACAGCGACCAACAAAAGGCTGAGGCTGCTCCTGCCACATCCGGGGAGCAACCCAGAGTCCCCGGCACAACAGGCCGGGGCGGCGGTGACGGGCGGGGGAGGCGGGCAGGCTTCCCGACAGGCAGTAGTGCGGACAGCCCTGACGGGGCGGGAAGCCAAGAGACAGGCACCGCGAGGGGCAGCCCTGGCCCGGGCCCCGCCATATATAAGCTGCGCGGGGTCCTGCGGGCGCGGTCCTGTCACGCTCGCACGGGGAGGAGGCTGAGGTGGCCATGGCGGATTTTGATCCTTACGACGATCGGGCCTACAGCAGCTTCGGCGGCGGCCGGGGGTGAGCGCGGAGTTGCGGCCGGGGCCGGGGCCTGCGCCGCTGGGGAGCGCTGAGGGCTCACCCCGGAGCGGGGAGGGAAGGAGGGAGTGGTGCTCCGAGCCCCCCCTCCCTTCTCCCCCCCCACCCCCCCAACCCGGGCGAGGAGGGGCGCGGCCGTGCAGGGCCTGGCCTGCCCCGCTCCCCTTGGAGATGACGGGCGGGCGGAGAGAGGGATTGGGGACCGCTGCCTCGCTGAACGTTTTGGGCCCGTCTCGCCCCGCCGGCTTCCCTTCTTGGGGTCGCGTTTGCCTACGGCCTTGGTGGGCCCGCTTTGTGAAGCGAGGAGAAGGCTTTGGTGTCCCGGGAGGGGGGGAGCGGCCGTCACCGGACTACGTGCGGACAGTGCCGCAAGGTTTGGGGCCTGGCGGCGTGGAAGCGCCGGGAAGGGGCGGGAGGAAGGTGTCGCTGTGTTCCCGCCGGCCCGGAGGCGAGTGCAGGGAGGGGATTTAGGGAGCGCTGGGCCGGAGCCAAGGTAGGCCGTGAGGAGCTGTTGCAGGGACAGAGCGGGAGATGGGAAGAGGGAGATTCCCGTGAAGAGCTGGAGTAGGGCGAGAGGCCCCTGTTGTGGCCGGCGAGCTCCGCCCGGCGAGGTGCTCTGCAGCGGTGGAGACCCCAGAGCGGGCAGCGCTGTGTCTGCAGCGAGAGGAAATGGGAGGGCTTTGTGGTGCCTCCGGCCGGGAGGACTGTGAGCCGCGTTATGCAGGGCTCTGGGTGCCGACTCCAAATTCACGGTCCTTAAGAATGAATAGGGCTTGTCTCATCTCTGGGTTTGTTTTGGTTTGTTTTTTTGGGGGGCTGGAGAGTGGTTATAGGGGAGGAGCTACAGAAGCAATAACCAGCAATTACGAAGTTTGCCTTAAATCGGGTTATGAAGATGCAACTAACAGTTGATTTTTTTGAAGGTTGGTGCCATATAAAGTGTGTACTAAAATAAAACAGTAGGTATAAAACGATGAAATAAACTGTCCTTGTGAGCAAATCTTAGCAAGTATGCTGTTTTATAATCTAATCGTCCAAGATATGTTTCCTGATCCACAGTGTTCTTGTTCTTTCCTGTTCTTGGAAGAATAAATCATTTCCATTTCAAACTGTTTAGGCAGTGCAGAGGTTTACTGCTGAGGTTGTGACAGAAGTAAGTTTTCTAATCTTTAGAAACACTTTGATGCTTAAGCTATGTAAACTTGTTTTTATGCATAGGTACCCTTTGTGCCTAAAGAAAGGATGACCCAGAGCAAACAGATGATGTACCCACTTCTGTATTTTTTTAATTCTGTAACAAGTAGCCTTGACAGCAGCCTTGATACTCATGATAAATTCAGCTATTACTATGCATTCTATCCTAGTCAATGTAGGCACATTCTATGAAGTAATAAAATTAATGCTAAAATGTTACTTTCATATTCAGTTTTCTTTAATAGAGTACTTAAACTTGCTCTCAGGCAAGATGTGCACACCTTGTTTTGGTGAACTAAAGGCATCCTGCTGAGTAGTAGATACCTTTGCAGATCAGAAAATGTACTTATTCTGAATTAGCAGTAGTTTTAAGCCTCAGATATTACTAATATTAGTGTAGCTTGTATCTAATTATTATTACTAATAAGTTACAGCTAATTCATGATTTCTGACCTTAACAGGTCTCTGTGCATTGTATGAAGTCCCATAGTATGTGTAACATAATGACAGCATGACTGTTCTTGAAGGTTCTGATTAAAAAATCCCATGTTAACTTAGTGACTCCTACTCAGTTTCAGGCGCTTTAGGACTGTAAGAATAGCATAAACTCAGTTGAGAGATAATAGTTTTTGTGGCAGTTGTGTTTTGCATAACCTTTGGTCTCTACAGTGAGTGAGCGTAGGTTTTAAGTGTGACAGAAAACAGTTCTGACATATGTAAGGTACCTGTCTCTTTCTCATACTCTTCAACATCATGGTAGAAGAGCAACAGAATATGACTGTGATGTGATGAGAGAGGTGGTTTTGCTACACTTGATGTCTGGTAATGCACTAAATAAGAGCTGAAACATAATACTGTCGTATGCAGAACTTATTCCAGATGAAGTACATGCTGCTGACCTTAAAAGGGTTACTATGAACACTTTTTTTGGTAAGTGTTTTGGAGCCAAAATTTGACAGAAAAAAACTGTAATTCAGTGCTCTGAGGCCTAGTTGAAGCTCTGAAACATCTGTACAGCTTCTCCAAGTTGACGGAAACTGAGTATTTGTCGCTCCTGACTTGCTGTTGGGCTGTTTAGTTAGCTGTGCCTTTAAGCACTGGGCTTAGTAATAGTGGGCACCATACTCAAAGGTTAAGATTCACCTGCTGAAGTACTGTACAAGTAAGTGAAACCAGAGAGCTAGTCTCTATCCTTCTGGTGTTTTGAATTCTGTGTGTTACCCATTCAGTGTTAATAAATGTCCCATCATTTTTAGGCTTGGGTAAGCTTTTTGTTAAAGACATCTGGTGCTCAACAAAACTTGCATTCTGCTGAGCCTTATGCTGCCTCTGGTAAAGCAACTACCGTTGGAATCCTGGTAGACTGTTGTCTCCGTGCTGTGCAGAAAGATAAACACTGAGCTATTGGTTTGATCCTTAGTGGAAGGCTTTAAACTCAAATACTAGCTTTCAAAATAGCCATTTGTTTAAAACTTTGGAGAGATGATGTTTTCTGGAGAGAATAACTGAACTGTCTTAAAAGAGTAGCTTCAGAATTGTAGCTTAGTTGTTCTTTCTACCCAGTATGGCCTTACAATGTTACTGAGTCAGTCCATCAATAAGTAAGTAGAATTCTAGGGATATTTGCTTTTGCATTTGTTGGAAGCAAGCTTTTCTTTTCAGCTTTCTGTTTTGGTTTCCTGAAAAAAGAAAGCAAATAGTTGTCTTTCAGTTTTCCACATTAAGATGGCATAATTGTTACCTGATTGTATCTGAACAAAAGTTACACTGAGTGGGAAATGCAAATATTCATTTAACACTTTGGTGTGACCCTAGTTCACTTAGTTCAGATACGGTTTTAATTATAGTTGACTTTTATCATATTTTGCTACAAATGAGAGAATCTTTTTCAGTCTCACTGTTTGGTTACTAAAGTCAGCCTTATTATTTCACTGTTTCAGTGTTGAAAAAAAATGCAGGGAAGCATAGAAACAGCTTCTTTTTGTGTTGCTGTACCTGGATTCTGTTTGGAACCTGGTTATTGGCAGTTCATTCTTGTTCTTCAAATGGAGACCAAAATACCAGATATTTAGTGATGTATTTTATAACTGAGGTCTTAATGATCATATTCAATAAGAATACTTCATTTTCTGACTTAGCATCAGGAGGGATTGCACAACAGTGCATGGATTTCCACACCGGCACCCCAGAGTTCTGGTATGCTATGGTAGAAACAAGGTTTGTCTGTAGCACCAAAAATTCTTTTGGTGATTGCTAACTTGAGGGTGTGGTTTCAGCAGCAGCTCAAATTGATCTGAGTGGAGGTTGCTGTTAAAAGCTGGAGTTTTGAGCTCCTGCTTTTGTTCTCCTTCCATGTTGGCACCAGTGCTCTTTGCAGCTGTCCAGATCACCTTGTTGATCTGGCTGAGAATTCAACTTTAGAGTGAATTTGTAGGCAAATCAGCTTCTTGAACAAGATGACTGGCAGTTCAAGGACCATGGTGAGAATGTGTGGAAGGAGGGAATGTTCCTTTTAAATTTAGCTGCAGCAATTCTAATGTTCCTATAGAACATAAAAATAAATTTATTTTTGGCTGAAAAGTAGATGCATGCTATTTTAATAGCTGTTTATGAGGCTATACAGAAATTCTACATATTACGGAGTTCTTTAGAAGAGCAACTCTACTTTCTTGGAGCTCCTCCGTAAACCTTGTTCTTGTGACTAAAGTTAATTCTACTGTACACACAGAACACTCAACTACAGCAGCTTTAGTTCGCCAGTATGTTTTTGACTTGTTAATGAGACAAAGGCAGATGAGGAGCATTGTCAAAAATGCTAAAATACAAACCTGGGTGGACACTAATTAAAGATGTGTAGGTTGTGATTCAAATACATTTAGCAGCATGCTGATGGTGTTGGTGACAAATGGCTCCTGCCTTGGAGCTGCTACCATAAAAAGGCACATATGGCAGGCTTACCTCGGAAGAGTTAAGGAATCTTCAAGATCTCTGCATTAGCTGATTTATTAGTAATAAAATGTTTATTCTGGAATGAAAAAAGAGGCATTGCTTGCCCAGTGAATAGTCTGCCTGCATGGAGACCTCAGAGCAGCTTTCCAACATCTGAAAGGGGCCTGCAGCGATACTGGAGAGGGTCTCTTCATCAGGGACTGTAGCAATAGGACAATGGGTAATGGGTTCAAAAGTAAACAGAGGAAGTTCAGGTTGTATATAAGGCAGAAGTTCTTTACTGTGAGGGTGCTGAGGTGCTGGCACAGGATTGTCCAGAGAAGCTGTGGCTGCCCCATCCCTGGCAGTGTTCAAGGCCAGGTTGGGAGGAGTCTTGGTGACATGGTCTGGTGGGAGGTGTCCCTGCCCATGGCAGGGGATTTGGAACTAGATGATCTTAAGTCCCTTTCCAACCTAAACCATTCTATGTTTCTATGAAATAATAGTTGTCTTGACCTTCTGTATTTTAGGTAGGACTCTGCAGAAATCTAATTAGTCCATGTCACACTAGCAAATACTGGTTTGGTACAGTTTATGGTCTGCTGTGCTTTAAAAGGCACAGTGAGCCTCTGGGAAAGGGAACAGGCATGAAGAAAACCCAGTAAAAGGCACTGAAGAGAGCAGGGGCAGGGTAGTGGTGTCTTGGGTAGAAGTCAAAGATTGCTTAGGTGGGCAAATGGTCTTGGAACCAGTGACAGTGCATCCTGTACTCTGGAAGTCCAGGAGGTGTAACTTAAGATTGCCTTGTGCTCACAGTACAAATCCTTTTCTCTGTAAAGGAGATCAAAGAAAGCTTTGGAAAATGAGGCTCTACAGGAAATTAACACACTTTATATTAGTACAGTAAAAAATTTAGCTGCTACAGTCTAGTTCCTCAGCAACCAATGGCAATAGCCTTAACTGAGACTGAGGAAAAAGATGGGAAAAGACAATCTAGGTTTTCCAGACAACAGGTTGCCCGTTGAGGTGGTGGATGCCCATTGAAGGCCAGGCTGAATGTGGTTCTAGGAAACCTGATCCATTTGAAGATCTTCTTGCTCATTGAAGGGGGGTTGGACTAGATGGCCTTTGAAGGTCCCTTCCAGCCCAAACTATTCTATGATTCTATGAATCTGGTTACCTCAAGTCTGTAATTCAGGAAGAAGCAAACATCCAAAGAGCACTGGTAGTGTTTTCTCTGTCCTAGAACACCTTGCCAACCAAGCTTTTTAGTATGTCTCCAATTCAGTGTATTCCAGTCCACATACCTGACAGTTATGGCAGTAACTTCAGAATTAGGAGAAGATGTTTCTGTTAACTAAATGCTGATGAAATAATTCAGATAATTTTGGGGTGGATGTTGATAATACACTATTTGATCCATTGCATCCAGCTTAATTTCAGATAAGCTGACAAGCCTGTGCCATGCAAGCATTTCTTCACTGCTATAAATTATAATTAAAATCTAGTCTAGGATGTGGGGTTTTTTCTTTTTTTTTTTAAGAAGTAATGAGTTTGAGTAGGTGACAGTAGAGAGAAACTTACATTGCTTTTCTTAATGGATTGTGGGATGATTCAAGGCCAGGTTGGACAGAGCCTTGGGCAACATGGTCTAGGGTGAAGTTCCCAACCCATGGGGGGGAGGGGGGGGGGGTGTGGAACGAGATGATCTTAAGGTCCTTTCCAACCCTAACTATCCTATGAGAAAGAAGCTCATTCATCATTTTGAGTTCACCTGGAGTGTATTTAAATACATTGTTCATTTGTTCTTCCACTGAAGTACTGCATCATATAATACTAGAAAGGAGTAGGCCAGTAGTGGAGGTGGCAGGTAGAGGCAAAAGGGATAAAAAAACTAACCAAAGCTGTAGAAGAATCACTTCCTAGAGCACCTGAGCAGTGCTCTGTGCTGTATTACTGGCTGTGTTGGGAGCCAGGTTCCAGAGACACTGTGATTTTATTAACAGGTCTCGTGGTGGTGGCCTTGGTTCCCGCAAACAGAAAGAGCTGCCGACAGAGCCCCCTTTCACAGCATATGTGGGAAACCTACCCTTCAACACTGTTCAAGGAGACATAGATGCCATCTTCAGGGATCTCAACATAAGGAGTGTACGACTAGTCAGAGACAAGGAAACAGACAAATTTAAAGGTGAGTGTTCAGAGCTGAATAGGTTGCAGATGGCTAGCTGGTAGGGGAAATGAGGGATTTCCAAAGTCAATTTAATGGAGAACTTCAGTTTACTCTAGAGCGTGGTTAGTTTGTTGATCTGTGTTCGTTCTTTATATTGACTTATGCAAGTTTCTCATTCATTAACAGTTAAATATCTAATTTGAATGAGGTTCACTATTGCTTCCATCATCTTCAGATACAGACTAACCAAGTGCCAGGTCAATATTTGCCCTGCCATAAAAGGGTTTTCTCAAACCTTGTTTGTCTTGCATGAATTCTAACAAAGCTGAAGTGTCTGACCCACTTAAGATCCATGACCTTAAGTGTTGAGTACTTACACAATCTTTCTTTAGCTCGGAAGAGTCCCATTGCTTCTGTCTTTTTTTAGTAGACATGGAGAAAAAGCAAGTAGATACAGCTCTTTAGAGGATGCGAATGTGATTTCTTTTGGAATTGGCCAGTGGAAAGGGAGTATATTTGTAAGTTACTTGGGGAGTGGGTGGGGGGGAACCTTAATGCAGAGAACAGGATATTAGAAAAGGGGTAAATTCACTAAATGATGTGTTGACACAAAATCAGCCTGCTGGCCAAGCAGGTACTTCAGCTTCTTGTTTAAAAATACTGGTAACCGAATGTCAATATTCTGCTAAATAACTGTCTAAAAGGCATAGATTAAATCATCTGTAATGAAAACCCTGTGGCAGAGGGAATTAATCAGGCTCTTGGCATTTGTGCAGTGCCCATACAGAGTTCTCTTCTGGGATTTGTCCTTGTCATTAATAGGCACAGGTAAATGCTTTCATTGTTAGTGATCATTGGTTTCAGAGTTGTGTACATCTTGCACTGACCATATCTTAGCTCATGCTTGAGAGGCTGTTAGCAGATGTACAGGAAGAGTAGTTTCATGTGAAGGCTTTTTAAAGTGCTGGTATTAACTCGTGAGGTTCTTCTTGCAGGATTTTGTTACGTAGAGTTCGATGAGGTGGAGTCACTTAAGGAAGCTCTTACATATGATGGTGCAGTAAGTATACTTCCTATTAATTTGTGAAATAAAAAAATAAGTGCAACTCTCAAACTCCTTGGTAGCCCATATGATACATTCTGAAGACATTCTCCCTTTTATGTAACAGCTTTTGGGTGACCGATCACTCCGAGTGGACATAGCAGAAGGCAGAAAACAGGATAAAGGTGGCTTTGGCTTCAGAAAAGGCGGTGGACCTGATGACAGAGGTGACTTCTGGTTTTCTAAATAGCTTCTTAAGTGAAATGGTTGTAGTTATGTCTGGTGCTAACTAATGCTAAGACAAGACATACTAGTAAACATGGAGATGATACACAAAAGAGGAATTTTTATATGTATATACATGTTTCTAACCTAGCTGCTGCCATGCCTGAGATGTCTGGACTATAGATGCACTTTGTGTCCAAAAGCTGAGTATGTTGTCACTCCTAGCCCAGGAAGTGAGACCAATACCCCTGGTGATGTACAGTGTCTTGCAGAGGACAATCATAAGCCCAATAGTCTGGTCTGCTACTATTTTATTATGATGCAAGGAAAGTGAGTAAGCACAAGTAGATAAATACTTGCTTTGGACTATCCTTCTGTTCCAGTGTAAAACCAGGCTTTGCTGTAGTTGAAGGTTAGTTGAACTAGACTCACTAAAGGTTTGCATTGAATGTGGATTAGAGAAACTTTCCTGACCTCTTGTTCTTGATTAACTTAAACCAATCTTTTGTTCCTGTCTGATGGAACTTGGTAGTACCAAAATGAAAGGATTTTCCAGCAGCATGGCTTTGGATATCGAAGGACTGAAACTTTCATTTGGTATCCCCTTGAGCAGCCTTTCCCACAGCCTCAGACCTGAACACAATTGTGGCTTTTTTCCTAGGAATGGGAGGAGGTTCCCGAGAATCCAGAGGAGGTGGATGGGATTCCAGAGATGACTTCAATTCTGGTATCAGTATTAACACTTATAAAGATAGGCAGCCTAAAAGGCACATAAATGTTCTCATTTTTATGTCAGATACATTTGTCCCCATTACTGTTTTGATTGAATCTACTTTAGGCCACCTTTGGCCTACAGCCGCAGTGGGATTCTTTAGGGGGAATCATCCATTGCCTTACAACAGAGGAAAGAGTCTTGATTGTGAATTTTATGAAACAATCCTAAATGACAGAACATTTGTTCAGGTATAGCTTATGCTGTCTAGGTTTTAAGCATTTCTCAAACATGTGGCCAAGTACATATCTGAATAGTAGCAGAAACAGATCATGTGTAAAAGCTGATACTGTATTCTTTCAGAGCAGAGGCTTTCACTTCTTAAGGCAATGTGACATCATTATATGTGTATCCCTGAAGCAACTGACTTCCCCAAAGATGTGTTAGTGTTCCAAAGCCCTTCTAAATGTAAAATGTTCCTAAACTTTTAGACCTGTTGCAATAAGGCAAGTTGCAACACATGACTGAGCTTGCTGAGTGGATGGTAGTGATGGAGCCACTGGGTTTTCTTTTGACTTCCAGTCAGCTATTAGAATCCAGGGTGACATCAAAACAATTGCTTTTGTCCTCTGAAATCATGGGTTTGGTCCATTTTCTGACGGGGAGATGCTGGCAAGTGCAACTTTGCAATGTCTAGTCTCTGCGTGAGTGGAGTGGACGAAGTAGGAGCGGTAACAAAGTGTGCCCTTGCCACTAGCATGAAGCTGAAGCATGGTGCTGGAGAGAGGAAGCTTGCTGCAGTGCTGTGCTTAACCTGCCTTTGTAGCTAAGCATTCCAGTGTGAGAGCTTTA